GAGAGAGAGAGAGAGAGAGAGAGAGAGAGAGAGAGAGAGAGAGAGAGAGAGAGAGAGAGAGAAAACAATGGTTATTGAAAGAAATTAAGTATAAAAACAATGGTTATTGAAAGAAATTAAGTATAAAAACAATGGTTATTGAAAGAAATTGAGTATAGAAACAATGGTTATTGAAAGAAATTAAATAGGATTAGAAACAATGGTTATTGAAAAAAATTAAGTATAGAAACAATGGTTTTTGAAAGAAATTAAATAGGATTAGAAACAATGGTTATTGAAAGAAATTAAGTATAGAAACGAAACAATGGTTATTGAAAGAAATTAAGTATAGAAACGAAAACAACGGTTATTGAAAGAAATTAAGTATAGAAACGAAACAATGGTTATTGAAAGAAATTAAGTATAGAAACAATGGTTATTGAAAGAAATTAAGTATAGAAANATTAAGTATAGAAACAATGGTTATTGAAAGAAATTAAGTATAGAAATAATATGGTTATTGAAAGAAATTAAGTATAGAAACAATGGTTATTGAAATGAAAGAAATTAAGTATAGGATGGGCCAGGATGGAGGACGAGGGGGGAGGGGAGGAGAAAGGCCAATGGGGAGGAGGGGAGGAGAAAGGCCAATCTCTATAAGCGAACATGTTTGTCGTTTCTTTGGCTCCTTTTTTTTTCAGTCGGACTGTCGAAGAACCTGCGGTTGTCATTTAATGCTGGAAATCCAAAATTCGAGAGGACACTTTATCTCGAAGAGTAATAATAAAATTCACAGAGAAACAAGATGAGGAAAAGTGTGGCGGTGAAAGCACAACAATAAAACGGGGGAAGTAGGAGGAGAAAGAGGAAGAGGAGGAGGAGGAGGAGGAAGAGGAGGAAGATCAGGAGGAGGAAGAGGAGGAGGAAGAAGAGGGGGAAGGAAGAGGAGAAAGGGGAGGAGGGGAGGAAGAAGAGGAGGAGCAGGAAGAAGAGGAGGAGCAGGAAGAGAAGGAATAGGAGGAAGAAGAAGAGAAGAAGGAATAGCAGAAGGGGGGCGAAGAGTAGGGAAGAAGAGGAGGTGGAGGAAGAGGAGGAGGAGGAGGAGGAGGAGGAGGAGGAGGAGCAGAAGAGGAGGAGGAGGAGGAGGAAGAGAAGAAGGAATAGGAGGAGGAGCGGGAATAGTAGGCAAGAAGAGGAGGTGGAGTAAGAGGATGAGGAGGAAGAGGAGCAGGAAGAAGAGAGGAGGAGCAGGAGGAAGAGGAGGAGGAAGAGAAGCAGATTTAGTGCCTCTCATCTATCATATCATTCACTTGCGGAACAGCTCTTAATGCAGCAGCGGAAAATTCTTACGGTCTCGGAGAGCACGCCTCAGAGCAAAATTCTCAGAATGGAAATTTTGAGGTTGAAAGTTTGAAATACAATGCGAGGATGTCTGGATAAGAGAAAACGACACGGTGGTGGAGACGTCGATAACCATGCAAAGAGGAGCAGGAGGAGCAGGAGGAGCAGGAGGAGCAGGAGGGGAGGGATAAGCAAGAGCAAACGGCAGGAGCTGAACTTCAAC